GCCGCAGTGCCGCCCCGGGCGGCCGGGAGCGCCAGCACTCAGTAGGCCCGCAAGCTGGCGGCGCTGGTTTCAGCGGGTTGCCCGTGCAGGCACGAAGGCTGCCCGTGTGAGGTCCTTGGGTTCAGGGTTAAAACACTGGGAAACTGGGGTCCCATGTCACCTTCCTTGCACAGCCACCAGGTGCCTTAGGCAGAAGCCTCCGCACTTTCCTCCTCTGGAAAATGGGAAGACCATTCAATGTGTGCTCATTATCCTCATTATCCCAACCACCGGCGGCCGGTCGACCTTCTGGCGGGAGAATCTGCCTCTCTCCAGGTGCCTGACTTAACCAAGCCTCCTGGCTCCCTTCAGCCTTGATTCTGCTCCAGAAAGCTGTGGGTTCCATTAGCCACTGCCTTACAGGGGAATGCTTCCCTGCCTCTGCTGCCGAGAAAGGGTGTCCGAAGGGCCAATCCGTTTTGGGCAGTTCAGGAGCAAGAGGGCGCTGGGGTCACAGACATCTGATTTGCCTTCTTCATTTCGGGATTCATCGGCAATAGCGGTGATGCATTATTGAAATCCTAAGGACAGAACTGTCTTGGGGAGAGCAGAAGGCAGCACTGACAGGGCAGGGTGCCAGTTACGACTGCCAGTGGCTGTGTGACGCTGAGCCATTCGCTTTTCTGGGCCTCAGTTTCCCCATTGGTAAAATGAGAGCCTTGACCCAGAGGCCCCCTGGCTCCCGCCTCTCTGGCCTGCTCCTATCTATGTGAATGTGCTTCTTGAATTTTAGCTCATATTCTCAAATGCATCCACATAGCTTTTCTCTAAATGTCCCCTCCCCCAGAAGAAACTGAAGCACAGAGACTGGATAATTTGCTGGAGATCTGACAATTCCTAGAGCAGGGAACCCAGAGTAGAACTTAGAACCTGGGAATCCATCCAGGGCTGGACCCCAAAGAAGGTGCCACAGCTCCAGATTCAGAATGTGGGCTTTAAAGGGGCCCAGGATTTGGTCTCTCTCTCTTTCTTTGTATGGAAAAAAAAAACACATCACTAAGATAGAAACGAGGTACTAAGACCTGTAACTCCAGCATCCACTGGGGCTTTGTTCAAACCTTCCTTTATTTTGCATAGGGCCAAGCCTTCAACAAATATGGCTTGATTGACTGACAATCAACCAATGGACAGCCGAGAGAAGGCTCCATTTCCTATTGGCTTGTCCATTTGGCTACTTGTTAGCTCCCACTGGTTAAAGACTCGATAACCAAGGTGAAATGGTGCTGGGGGTATCAAATGGTCTCTGTGCCCTGTTTATTGGTGGAGTCCCAGTCTTCAGCGCTAGACTCTAAGCCCTTAAGGTGACAGTGACTGCCTTACTCAGATCCGTGGCCCCCAACCTTTCTGCCCTCAGTAAATGATCCTTGAGTTGGATTTGATTGCTAATAATGATCGTCACCAGGGTTAGTGCTTGATCTGCTTGAAAACCCTTAGAGGCAAACCGGCACATCAACAATTAACATTTAAATGGTGAATAAGGTCGCTTTGTAGCTGCTTCACTTTTCTCAGGAGATCCTATTGATCAGGGAAAGACAAAAATAATATGCTAGGTAAACAAAATTCCAGCGGAAATCAAGCTACTCCTTTAAGAGTTGCAGACCCCCATGGCCCCACTGGTGCACTTTCTTCCCAGTCAGCAGGAGGAGGACCGAGCAGAAGCAGAAGGAGCCAGCAAGAGGCAGCACTCAGAACAGAAGTGCCTGCGGGAAGGAGAGAAGAGACAAGTGGTGCAGGCTGCTGCTTCCATACAGGGGCAGGGACTTTCCCTTCATGAGCTCAAAACCGAGTGGGCAGGCTGGGCAGGGTGGAGGGAGCACCCACCTCCCGGTGGCCACTCTCCTCCAGCAGGGAACCAGCAGGGAAGGGGCCAGGCCATGTCTGAGTTCAACCATCCCAGGCCCAGCACATGCACTCCTGGTGTGCAGATCAGTTACTGGGCAGGGCAGGAACTCTGCCTTCTGTGATTCGGGTGAACTTCCTCCCTCATCCTCCTGTGCATCCCTAACTCCGATGGGGGCAGGAGCCTGGACACTCTTCAGTGAACATTCAGATATGTGGGCAGGCATGCTGGGCCCAAGCCAAGTGTCCTCCTCCCAGAGCTGTCAGGGGGCAGGGGAAGCAGGTTGCAGGGAAGGCAGTAGAAAGAGGAAGGAGGAAGGCGATCCGGAGACAGGGCAGACTGCCCTTGGCATCCTGGCAGTTTGGCCATCTAGCCCCTCAAGAGCCGGTTGCTTCCCTTCCTTCCCACTCCCTGGGTGGCTTAACTAAAATGGAAGACCCCTCTGGGCCAGCCTGTTGTCCTGGCTTTGGGTGACCTGGCAGGGCTCTCCTCCCTCCCCAGCCTCACAACTCTCAGTTCAACCCAATATTTCAGAAGCTGCAGACTGGGCCTTCTTGCCCTTTGACCTTCCCTCCTCTGTTGGCTTCTCCCGTTCTTTCTGACTGCCCCTCCTCTGACTCTCACTAATCTCCCCCATTCGCAAAACACCAACCCAAAAGAACCTACTGGGATGAACATTCTGCAAAGGGAAAGCCACCTTTCCAGACAAGACAGAGACCCATGACCCAATCCATCAAAGTGAAACTAGAAATCTTACATTTTGTTTAAAAAAAGATGCTTGATTTTGTAGAAATGCTGATTCTCAGATTTTCTGAAGTGAGGTTTTTGACTTGAATCGCTTTCATTGTGATCATTGTTGGTTGCCCTCTCTTTGCGACTCCATGTGTGCAGCGTAGAGCTGCTCTGTAGGGTTTCCAAGGCTGCGAATTTTGCAAAGCAAATCACCAGACCTGTCTTCTGAGGTGCCTAGTAGTTGAACACTTAACCATTTGCTCCACCCTAAGACAGATATTACTTTTAAAGGAGTTATATTTGCAGTCTCCAATCTTCATTTTAAAGAATTTGAAATCCTCCATTCTTACAGTTGTGCTAAAGTTATTGCTACGCAGGTTCTGGTAGATAGTGTCTAAAAGTAAGATTAATTTAAGTAACTTTCACCGTGCACTTCAGTTCCAGGAAATGGACACATTCATGACGTGTGATACATGTGTCATCCTGTATCACCCCTCAGATATCCACTTCAAATATTAAGCATTGATTTCTGACCTTGCGTGTAGTCAGGCTGACTTCCTTTCTAGGAGGAAGTTGTGATCGAGGGTCCAGCTCAGCTGAGGAAGCTGGACTGCTGGTGGAGAGAGTTCCATGGGCTCCACTGGGAAACACTTCCATCACCATGAGTCCTGCTCTGGCAGAGCAGCCTGGTACTACCATGAGTTTGGAATGGGCCAAGGTGACTCTCTGAACTTGGGGCAGTCTCCACACGTGGGCTACATATAGGGAACAATCCTTACGGAAGGAGCATTACCATCTTTCCTAACCTCAGAATATCTGTACTTACTTGTTCCATAGCAGGTTGCCCCAGAAACTGTATGCCTCCTGAGGACAGAGCCTGGGTCTGTGTCATCAAAGCCTAGCACAGTGTTTGACAAGTAGTGGTCCCTATTGGAGTCTCTCCAGCCAGCCTCTGTGAAGGTTGGCGGCATAAGCTAGGAATCCCAGGAGTTGATTTCACATCAGGTCAGGATCTGTTTGTGAAGCCTAGGACAATTATCTGAACCTAGCATGAGCCTTGTGAATAGACATATGTCATTTTTTTTTCACAATTCCTGGCTCTCCTACTTTGTACTTTGGACCCAGTGATTGAAAGTCCCTACTCTTGGGTTTTGTGGTTATTGCAGACAATGATTCCATTTCACAGATCTTCCCAAATCCCTGCCTCTAGGTTCCAACTGGGTCCTAAATATCAAACACCATATAACCATATGTCAATCAACTGGTTGATTAGGTTTATGGCATTTAAAATTCATTGCCGTCAAGTTGATTCCAACTCATAGTGACCCTATAGGACAGAATAGAACTTCCCCATAGGGTTTCCAAGGCTGTAATATTTATGGAAGCAGACTGCCTGCCAAGTCTATTTCCCAAGGAGTGGCTGGTGGGTTCAAACCGCCAGCCTTTTGGTTAGTAACCGAGTGCTTAACTTGCCTCTGGGTTCCAACCGGGTCCTAAATATTAAACACCATATAACCTTATGTCAATTATCCGGTTAATTAGGTTTATGGTACTTGAAAGGTGATGATATTTTTATTTTATATGCTACTTTAAACACTAAACGAAACAAATCAGTTGCCCTCAAGTCAATTCTGATTCATGATGACC